GAAGTAGAATGGATAAGGTTCCTTATTCAAATGCCACTGGTTCAGTTATGTACGTAATGGTCTGTACTAGACATGATCTTGCCTTTGCCATAAGTACCTTAAGTAGATATATGAGTAATCCAGATGGATATTACTGGGAAGTATTGAAATGGCTGTTAAGATATTTAAAAGGAACTTCAGATTTAGGTTTGATGTTCTGTAATAGTAAAACTGGAATTCAACTTAAAGGCTTTGTTGATTCACATTTTTCTGGTAATTGTGACAATAGAAAATCTACATTAGCATATGTTTTTACTGTTAATAATACCTGCATAAAATGGAAATCACAGCTGCAAAAAATAGTTGCTTTGTCTTCCACAGAGCTGAGTATATTGTAGCCACAAATGCTGTGAAGGAAGGTATTTGGTTGAAAATTTTATTGGATGAAATTGTCTTCTCTGGTAATAATGCTACTGTATATTTTGATAGCTAATCTACTATACACCTTAGTAGAAATCTAGTTTTTCATGATAGGACAAAACATATATATGTTAAATTTCATTTTATAAGAGATATTATAGAAAAGGAAATTATAATAATTGAAAAGATCTCTCCTAAATATAATCCACATGAAACCCGATGATGTCAAGCAAGGTGGAGATTCTTAAAGTATGCTTAACATCTAAGTGTTGCAGCCCAAATATGTTCAGCCCAATTGCATTTGATGAGTGTGACCCGGGTAGCCCACTTACTGCACATTTTCGTACTTTACTAAAACACGACTTTGGTTGTTGAAACAAGATGGCTGAGATTGTGACACATGGTGTTGGCACAACCGTTTGATGCATGATGACTCTTTAATATTCCAGACTCTTCCATTTGCCCGGCGAATAGTTCATTCTTCTAGGGTTTTTGCTCTTGAGATATTTCTGGATTTTTCTCTCTTATGAAAACTCTTGGTTTTCATTCTGTAATCATGAGGTTAGATAATCTTGGTGACGTCTAGTGTAGATTACAGTTCTAGTTTGTAATTCTTCTGATTCTTGGTGAGCAGAAGTCCGGTTACTTGGTGTAATCTGTAAAATGGAGAAAATGAGAGTTTGAGTCGAGTGATTCTTGGGTCTCTAATTCTTGTAGTTGATAAATTTTGTTCGATTCTAGTGGATTAGAGTGATTATCACTTCGGTGTATGCTCAACGGGTGAGTAGCCAAAATACTTGGTGAACATTTGAGCCTACGGGCAAAAAATCTCTCATGTTCATTTTGTTCTTATTGATATGTTTATTTTTGGGACTATTTAATACCAACACTACCAGTTATGTCATCCAAAGTACGACTACAATTTCCCTCAATTTGATTCTTAGCTTATTAAGACCATTTAGGTTCCCAATTTTTCCTTCTAATGGCTGGAACGGAAAAGGGATGTCAAGTGCAGTTACGAATTCAGCCAATCTCTGACCGGTCGAGTTAAGAAGTTCCATAGACTGTCCAAGCTTGATGATCCTAATCGACTTGATTTTTCAGGATTTTGAAGCTAGGATGTGAAACAAACCCGACCACTGGAGTCCTTGCATGATGTTGAGGTCGATGAAGTGGACATGATCTATACCATCCAGTGCCTCTTGGAAAGCTTGATTGGCTGTGAAATGTAAAAATTTGATCAAAGGGCTTACTGAATTGTAGATTTGGAGGGCATTGAGTAGCTTTTGTTGGTAGGTATTGTAGAGTATGGTGAGGGACGAGTAAATACCCAAGTAGGAGCTGATAATTCGAGACGACGGCGTGTCTGCGAAGGACACCCCGATGAATTGCGCTAATGAGCCAAAGGGAGAAGAAAGCTCTGCAATCTCCGGCAGAAGCTGGCCGGCGTCGTCTAGATTGTCCATCGCGACACACTCTGCACATTGTAGAAGCAAACCCAGAAGTCTATGCCCAATTGAATCACCTTCTTCAATAACATGAGCCTTTAACTGCTCTTTCTCGGATTCATGTTCTTTTTCATCGGAAATAGAAGGGTCCATAGCTTGGGATCGACAATGCTTAACCAAATCAGTAGCGGCAGAAGGAAGGTCAACGGTGGCGCATTTACCATAATTCATGGACGATGAAGATGAAGACTTATTGGGTCTTTTGTTGTGTGGTGTAAGAGGGATAGTACTACTGTGGTGCATGATCGGAGGGAGAAACTGGACAATACAGTAGGAATGTACAATAGAGAGAATTGAAAGTATTATGTAGAGAAATTGACAAAAATGTAGGAGCCAATTTGGCTCCAACAACCTGAAAAAAGTTTAAGTCGGCCCGACTTGTTACAACCCATTTATTTAGTCAAATGTGGAATTGTTAAAGTCATAGTCAAAATGAGACTTATTCCATAATTGATAATATAAGAGGGTTAAGATGTATTAGATTGAAGATTTACTTGTATATCCTTGGAAGTTATGGGTCTTCCTTTGCAAAAGCCCCAATAACTTGCTTATTTTAAACCCATTTCTCATTTGTTTCACACACACACACACACACACGAGGCTGGGAACCAAAAATAGAGGATGGAGGCATAAACAGAAGCTGGAAAGGATGCTGATGACTGAAAAAGAAAAGGAAAAAGAAGGGAAAAGAGAGGAAGGAGTAAGCCTTATTTTCCTTAATCTTGGGTTTAATTCATCTATTTCTTCAAGAGATAAAGAAATAATTTATGTTGAATTTCTAGGGTTTTAATTTGTTAGTTTAATTTTCAGATTAAGTTGAATGAGTACCATTGTTAGTTCAAGTTTCTTGATTGATTACCATCAATTTACATCAAGGTAAGGGATTTTATTTTTGGGCAAACCCTAGAATTTTTATTTGGATTCTTGAATGAAGTATATTTGGTGGAATGATTGTGATGATAACATACTTACTTGGAAGTATGAATTTATGGAAGAAGATGAAAATTTTATTGGTTGAATTNTTTGGTGGAATGATTGTGATGATAAAATACTTACTTGGAAGTATGAATTTATGGAAGAAGATGAAAATTTTATTGGTTGAATTATAGTTACTAGTTTTCACTAGATTGAAGTGGGTAGTTACATTTATGCTTGGAATGAAGTTTATGTTGATGAATTAGTTATTAGAAAATGGATTAGAAAGTGTAACTAGTTCCAATGGATTAAAGCAATAATTTGGGAGATTTATTCAAGTATCAAAAAATTTAGTTTAAGTATTATGGCGTTAGATATTAAAGGCTTCTTGATTTGATAGTGGTTAAATTGGTTATCTTGTATGGTATTTCACATGGTGACGAGGAGATTGGAAACATTTATCAGCCAGTCTAGCTTGTAGCTCGTACTTTGTGAGTGGAAAATCTTATTTTTCATAAATAAATATTTATTAAATTTATA